GATTCTTCATTGGACTCTATCAGTAGACAACAGGAAGTCCAATTTAAGCTGCAGGTGAGAAACAATTATCATCTTTGGGAATGAGAACCACTGGCCGGCCTGCAGAGGTCTACTGTAGAACCAGTGAGGTCCTGAAGAAGAAAAGTCAGAAACTATATGGCTGGATTACTTCTAGAATGGAAATTTGTTGGTGCTTTTTGTTTATTCATGAACTCACAAGAAAACCGAGGGTCCAAAATAATAATGTCCAGAGTCAGCAGTTAATGGGTTAAGAAAATTATTTCAATATATTTCACTGAAGAAATTTTGGATTTTTTTTCTTCAATTGGCAAAAAAATGTATTCCCTTATGACTATTTAAAAGGTATTTGTCTACTTTACATTAGTACTTAATGTCAGTCAGTTCAATTCCCTTATACCAAATTCTCTATGATCCTAAAAAATTATAGATAGCAATCCGTTGTCATTTGAGGTGGAATTCAGAATCCCTGGACATTTCACTCTCTCTACTATCCTGATTTAATCTCCTAGCCTCCCTTTGGTTGTGAGTCCCGTGTCATTTCCATCTTGTCTTTCTTTTAATGGGCCCTCCTAGACAAGCCAGGGTCTCAACTATCCTTAACGTTTTTGGTACATTTGGAATATATGCAGGCCTAGGAGATATTGTAGGTTTCGTTCCAACTACCTTAGTAAAGCAAGTATTTCAATAATCTGAGTCAATTGTTTTGCTGGTGGAGGGCCTTGCCTTCACTTTGTAAAAAACCACATCTGTGAAGCACAATAAAATGAGGTATGCCTCTAGTTCATCCCTCCAAATTTCTTATTCTCTCCAGTTTTATGAATGAGTAGTAGTATAAATATGTGTGTCAAAAAGATTGAGTCATCGTGATCTTAAAATCCATTTAATGTTGTTATTTTTAATATCACTATTATTGGTATTATCCAGATTAAGAGCAAAATCTCTTGGAGTCATCATTTCTCTTTCTTTTAATTCTGGCTTTCTCAGGGTAATCACTGTTTTGAGTGGATTTATCAACTAGGTATAGTGCTTAGGCAATGCTAATATCAACTATTCCAGCAGAGAAGGGTAGTGTTTTAGCAGCTGGGGTACTGGTTGTTAGTTTCTAGTGAGCTGATTGGTGTGATTCCCTTCCTCCAAGTTAATCACATGTGGATTAAACAGGCCAATCAAGTGGCTTGGTCTTGCGAGGTGAGGGCAATCCATTGACCCAGAAGAAGAGTATAGAAGTTGTTCTTGTTTGAGCATCTGGCAAGAGCAGCCATTTTCTTGCCTCTGTGTAATTCAGCATTGGCTCTCATCCTTCCCCCGCTCCATAGTCCTTACTGATTTTGTTGCATCATACTTTGCTAGCTTAAACTTTGTCGTTTTTTGTTTTTAAAGATTTTTATTGAGGAATCAGGGGAGGAGAACAGCGCTGGGGAACCGCGGGAGGGAAACAGAAAAGTTGCTGTCCTTTTGTTCTTCAGTCTAGTTTTGGAGGGCGGTGAAGAGTGCTCGGTAGAAACATGTGAGAGGAGTCATCTAGAATGGAGTGGGACAGATGTGTGGAATTGATTGGCTGGTCCCTGCACCTGGTACTCTTCTTCCCATCCTCCTCCCAGTCCTGCTCTACTGAATGCGTTCACTCCCTTAGGCAATCGCTTCACTCCCTCCATCCTGAGGCCAGTCCACACTAGTGCTCTGGTTCCCTTGAGGTTTCTAGCTTCATGCTTTCTCTTTAGATTAGAAAGCCACAGGGAGAGAACAAAAGTTGACTAGGAGCTCTGTTTTTCAAAATCGTTGTAGGCACGTTTGTTTCTGTGAGTGTCCTGCTGAACATTTGGGGAACCTGAGAGAATGCCATTGTTACAATGATGAACTGGGTGTGCTCAGTCAAAGGAATCCGCTGAACTGAGTTGAATGTGTGGGCTAATGAAGCCCTCACATAGGAAGTGCGCCCTCAGCTGGCCGCCCGTGACATGGCCGAGGGCGAATGTGGGAGGGCCGGCTTCTCTTCCAATCCCAAATCGTACTCCCTCCTGGAGATTCACTCCCAAAACGAACAACAGGCTGTCTGGGTCAAGAATTGACCTCAGACTTGAACACAACATTTTTTAGCTGATATCATTACAAAAAAACAAGTGTACACCTTCAGGCAGGGAAAGGCTTTTTTTTTTTTTGCGCGCAATGGGCAGGTATCAAGAGAGAAAGGGATAAAAACGCGCTTCCTCCTCCAGCTGCTACTACCCATCCTTATCCACACTGTGGCCTAGAGCTGTGCTAACTGGGTGTGCAGCTGCATTGGTGTGCCAATGAACAGGAATGTCATAGCTGATGGGGTTAAATATCAGTGTGAACAGTCAGTTTCCAGTTTCACAAATTCATTCCAAATAGGTGCTTCTCTCTGAACTGTTTTGAAAATATACTCATTATCATATTGAATGATGATATTGGTAGCCCTTCCAAGTAATCTGAGTTCAGGTGTATTTTCTGAACTGTTAGAGAATTCTAATATCGCCAACTGACAACTAGAGGCTTTTTTATTGAAGTGGATGAATAGCGGTAGAATTCCAAAGGAGTTACTACAAGCTGCACAGTGTCGTATTCAACATAGTTCATCAGGAAGTGTGTGTGTGTGTGTGTGTGTGTGTGTGTGTGTGTGTGTGTGTGTGGTGGCGTGTAAATTGGTCAGGTAGCAAGGAGAGATGTCAGTTTGGGAGAATTTCTTTAATCTTGGCCTAGTTGACCTAGCCAAAGCTTTAGTGTTTTTCTCTATAAATTGTGGGTGGGGAAGACCTTAGTAATATTGTCATACATTTTTGTCGTTTATCTTTCTCTTCTCCACTACCTCTTCTCTGTAGATGACTCTTGCAGCAGGAAAAAGGCTTGCCAGTTCTGGACTTCTTCTGTGTCTGTTTTGATTGCTAAACATCTTTCAAATATTATAATCCTTTCTAAATGGGCTTTTGTAGAGGACACTCATATGGAATATGTATCATATCCATAACTATATATGTGTATGTAGATGTGTATAAAGAAACATTTACACATACTTACATATGTGTATCATTTTATTGACTCTCTTTCATTTTGTTAAATGGTTAATTTCAGTGTGAAAATCACTTAGAAAGCTCTGTCTGTCACTTTGTCCTGGAATTCTCTATATTCTTATTGTGCTCACTCTCTGGGAATTACTACCATATTTTCATAATAATATCGTAGTAGTTTATATATGTTGAAAAGTGTTGGAGACCCCAGAGGCAGAGCTGGCTGTGGCCGAGGAGGGGTGAGAGCTGAGCCGCTGCTGCCCTGACCTACCTGTCCAGCCCTCACAGGTGACAATGTGCTTGGCAATGTGGATTCTGGGAAAGAAAGACAGGGGTGGTGAGTGGCCTCCAGGGAGCAGGGGGGACAGACACTCAAGGCTCAATTAGGATGAATGAAGCCCGAGCATGCTCAGTGCAGCTCAGAGCCAAGACAGGACCCATGAAGAGGAGGGACTGGAAGGCAGCTGAAACCTTCACTTTCTGACAACATCTGTGGCTCCCGAATTAAATGACATCACATTTTCATTTCTTGTTCTAAAGCACCCAGACAACTTTACTAGTGGTCACACAGGAAACTGTAAAGATTAGACAAAAAATTTGCAAATTCCAGGCAAAGAATCTGAACATAGTGAGTGATAGCTGCCTTTAGTATGAATGTAACATATGATCATGTGTGTGGTCCACGTTAGCCAAGCCAAGAGAAGCTTTGATTGCAGCTCCTTTAACACTCTCAGGGGTGTGCATGTTGAGGTGCCCCCAATGGAAAGTCTGGGTGAAGGGCTTTATTAGGACTGTGAAGGAATAGAACCTCAGTTTCCACCCTTAAATCAGTGCCTAGTGCATTAATGAGGGAAATCTTACAGCACACTTGAAGGTCTCTGCAGAGAGCCAGCATGAGGGAAAGCTGTCAGAGGACAAACAGTCAAACAAGTGCCTATTCTGTGAATCCTATGAATGAGCAAATAATCCCTTCCCTCATCCTCAGATTCAGACTACCTGTGGTGATATTATTTGAAAGTACTGATTAAATTAAAAAGTTGAAAAGACCAGAAAGACGGTAAAAAAACCCAAAACACAAAAAACTAAAAGCGGAGGTAGAGGATGAAAGCAAATGAGACATTCCTAGATATTCAGCCACTGAAGATCACAACACTAATTCTGAAGCTCTCTCCTGGGGTAGTGGTAGGGTAGAGTGATTACTTCCCTCAGGCACGGAATTTGAGAAGGCACCAAATCTAAGTAGTGAAGATAAATAATATTTTCATTCAATACTAAACAATGAAAATTAATGCTGAAACGTCCATGATGAACAAAATGTCATTTTCAAAAGACAAGGAATGACCTTGCATTGCAAGGCCCTGAAACTCTTACAGAGAAAGGGGGCTCGTGCAAGTAAAATTTTGGCAAGTCCCATTCAGTTGCTAAAATTCTGAACACTAAGGGTTAATTCATAGGTCCCTTCATTCCATAGAAAGAAAATCAAACTGTCCTCAACTGCTTGTACACAGCGTTAATTTTTCTTTTTAACAACATGGTTGAGGTGGAGTCCTGTAAAAGCTGCTTCAGTAATTTCAAATGAAATAATAATTATTTAAAATTGTTACGGTGTCAAAAGACATTGTCATACATGAAAACAAGTAAAGAAGTAATCTTGAAAACATTAATGAATTCCCTTCCATTAGAGCCAAGATAGTATGCGGTTTAACAGATTTCAAATCGCTGCAATAACCGCAATTACATTTTCACCAGCCTAACCAAATTATTTTCTTGTTTTGGTGTACATTAATTACAGTTTCAATAAACTTAAATAAAATGCTCTTTTAATAGCCTCAACGTTAAGAATAGTTTGTAAATGTTACGTTGACATTTTAGCAACAAATTCAAGAGATGTTAGTGACACCAGTATGCATAGAGTGGGAATATTAGCCATTGTCTATTATAATGCTAGCAAATATGGCCATGATGAAGCAATATAAATTGGTTATTCATGAATGCCTTCTGGTAGGAAGAGAAAATCTAAAAATCCTTTCAGTAAAAATTACTTAATGGGTGATCCACTGGGCCTGGTGCTGAGCATAGCACGGTGAATAAGCCACATTCCCATTACTAAAGAGCTGATTCACCAAAAATTATCTCATACCTGCCATTTAAAGAGTAGGCACCTGGAAGGCTGAGGCAACATAACTTCTTATGCAAAATAAAAAGAGTTTAATTCTTTCCATGATAATAATATTTACCAGTTCACTTATTTAAAAAGACGATTTCCTTTTTGTTTGAGAAGAATAAACTTGATTGGAAACACTGAAAATACTTTAAGAAATTTGAATTTCAATGCAAAAATACAAAGAATGATTCAACTTGATGTTGTCTAAATCATGTAATCTCTTTGGGATAATATTGCTCCCAGGCGTACAAATTTAGTTCTTTTGAGTGTGAACACATCTTAACTGTGACAATGCTTTGTGGCATTCCAAAGCACAATCCTATCCAACAAAATCTTATTCCTCAGTATTCATTTTTCTCTAGGTTTTCTCGTGTATCACACGAGAATCCTTGCTTCAAGGAAGACAGAATGTATGGAAGAGCAGTGCTACAAACCTACGGTGACTCGATGGCTCATCGGAGGACTTTCCCTCCATCATTTGCTTGATCTCAGAGTCATATTATGAGAGGGGCCTTTGCTTCCTTACGAGCTGCCACTGGCTGTCCTGTGGATGTTGCTCATGTTTGAGTGTCAGTGTGAGGTAGACTTTGAGAATTAAATGCAAATACTTTATATTT